TCTGCTTTAATCATTCTGCAAAAGAAAACGCCACATAAAGACAAAACGGACCTGATAAGAAGGAGAGGAAGTGCATTCAACCAAAAGATGAGCAGCACATGACTAGTTTATCACCTTCTAAAAAGCTTATTCGGTCTTTTACTTCATCTGTTTGTTGTAGGGAAACATAGATTATCATTTAAAAAGCTAAAAATAAAGAGGAGAAACTTATTACATGCGCAGAAGTCACCAAACCCCTGTTGACTTGTCCTTATTGGGTGTTATTGAATAAAGTGTGCGTCATATCAAGCTGTCATCGGGGAAACAAACGACCTATTGTTTGCACTGATCGATCATCCAGAGACTGGAATTGGCTGATATTTGTTCTGTCTAACAAGTCATATAACGTTTGGGCTGTAAATGCCTCATAAAGCAGGATGATGTTCTGACTTTATGAGCTTTTTGTTCTACATAAAAATGAACTAAATGGTGGTGATGTAACATTATGTCAAAACAGAAATGTTCTAATGCAAATGTTAGACATTTAAATTATTTATTGTCATTAGGAGAAAAGAAATCAGTGAAAAACTGAATCCATGTTGGCGAAAGTCCCCAAAAGGCCAGAAATCGTCCGATTGGTGGATCTCTGCTCCAAGCGTTTGAGGTTTGCTGCTTTGATCAGAGGGTAAACTCTCAAAAACCTTGAAACTGGACACTGACCCGGGTCCAGTTGGGAACTAAAGTAACCCAATAGGAGACAGAACAAAGATCAGCCAGTCAGGCTGCGGTGAAGTCAGGGAGGAAATTAAAACAAGCTGCCGTTGTTTGTGTTTAACGACGCACCGATCAATCAGCCACTGATTGGAATCGGGATCAAATAAATAAAAACCAGATATTTTTCCTCTTGTTCGTTAAATGCATCAAAACAAAGAACTCTCATAAGTTTTAGTCTATACGTGTGTAAACCTTTTTTTTTCTTAGCAGCTAAAACAAACACAAACAAATTTGCATTCACTTTAATGAGAGAGACAGTCCTATTTGTTTATTTCTGTTGGATTGAAAATTATTTCCTATGTGAAAAAGTCCTTAAAAATTTGTTTTATCATCTAAATCCTGAAATCATTGTCCGATCAGAGCCTCATTACCTTGTGGTGAATACAAAGGCTAGTTAGCATAGCAACCGATGACGACAAACAAACAGTTCTTCTGTAACTGTAAGTTGTTTCTTCAACTTTAGCACATTTAGCAGCAAATACATCAGGTGATTGACAGCCCTAACACCCGCCTCCTGGCTCTGATTGGTTGTTTTTGGTCGGGAGCGATGCAATTCTTCAGCTCAGGGAGGAAATGGATCTTTTCACAGGTTATCTGTCTCATATTAAACTGTCGTTAAACAAATATATGACATGTTTTTATAAAAGTTAAAGGCTGCAGGTTTAAGGAGTAAACGGGGAAAAGTTTTTAAGTTTTCCAACCTGCAAATGCAGGAACAGGTGGGGGTGGGGGCAGAACCGGAAAAAGATTGTTAAATGGTCTCATTAAAAGGACTTTTAACATTATGAAGTAATTAAAAGCATTTAATTTTTAAAACCTTCTTTTTAAAAAGTTGGCCTGTTGTCTTTAGTTTGGTGTTTTGGTCTCACCTTGCTGTTTTATTCAGGGATGATTTTATTTATAGAGACTTTATGATTCACTTCATTTGTTGTTTCTGTTGTTTTTGTTTAGTTTGGATATTTAAAATGGCTTCCAGTTCCAGCGTTAAATTCCCATTGAAAGGTTATCCATCTTTGATTATGTGTTGCTGTAATTACTGTTACTTCTAAGCGGCCTCATAAAACAATATCGTTTATCGCAATAACTTCCAGGACAATTTATTGTCCAGTAAAATGCATCGTGCCAGGCCTCTTGACGCCTCGTTGGATGTTAAACGTGTTTGTTGTTGGGGAAGAAGCCAAAACAAACAAACGCTCCGGTATTTAACCATCTCTGCTGGGATAATTGAATAAATATTTGCGCGTTTGCGTCATGTTGAGGGAAAAACAACCTGCTATTGTTCGCATGTGCAGTGGACAACCCTTCCTTTCTGCACAAAGCTCATTTAGTGATGTTGATGATGCTGAGGTCTGACATTTATAAAGCGCTCTGCGAGTGTGTGAGTGTGTGTGTGGTTGCCTCTCGCCGTGCACGCGGCAGCGGGTTTAAACTGGGCTAATTCACAGAGGGGATTTGGCCCTTTTCATGCAGGGATTATGCCTCCAGCACCTGTGCAGATTATGTAAATACGGCTCGTCTGGGAGGCCAGCGCTGTGTTTATGTTGTCATCTAAACGCGTGTTTGCAGAGCCGCCATGCTTCACGTCACAACCCACTTCCTGTCAGGCTGCGGAAGAAACCTTTTTTCTAGTTTTGTTTTTGTCGTCCGGCTGCCGGCTTCTGTCTCGACGCTGCTCTTCCTGTCGCTGAAGTGTGTTTTAAATGCATCGTTTCTGTTTTCCTTTCCACTTTGTGCAGCCTCTGACATTCACACACAATGTGTGTGAAAGTGAACTCTTGACAACCTTTAGCTTAGCAAAAAAGGAACTGGAGATAAATAAGTATGTGTGTTTAAAAGTGCATCACATAACTTTTATGAAAGATATATAATTTTTACACATTTTTGTGAAAACTGTCACCTTGACATGACAGTTTTTAATGAGACAGATGATCTGTGAAAAGATCTTTCTCCTCCAAAAAACATTTCTGAGTTTCAATTGTAAATTTTTTCACATTTAAAACTCAGAAATTAACTTTTTTTTTCCTTTCTAGAAAATTTCTGAGATCTCAAAAGCTACTATTGCCTCCTGAGTAAAAGCAGAAAACAATCAATCATACAGGAGGCGGGTCTTACAGCTGCCAATCAATCTCTTGTACTTGCTGCTAAATGTATGATGGGGAAAAATAACTTTCCGGTGCAGGTCAGACAGAATTTATTGTTTTCATATTTCCCCAAAGTGGCAATGAAAATATCACATTGTAATTGGAGTGCAACAAGATCTCATCATACAAGAAATGTCATGATTTTAAAACATTTTATCAAGTCATTTATTTAAACTTTTCAAACTGAACAATTTCTACTTTTTTTTTTCTCCTAGAAAATTTCTGAGATCTCAAAATTTCTTTTTGGCTGAAATTTGAACTTATGATTGAACTTCCTGTGCTGTTTGCAATGCAAATTGTTTAACGCTGAAAAAAACATTTTCAAATCTCTTTTCTCTGGAAGCTTGACGCTCAGCCTCCACTAGCAGATCCGGATCAGCCGCAGTTTCCCTGCACACAGACAGCAATGCTTACAGAAACAAGTATTTTCTTTGACAGATGAGCCTTTTAGCAGGTGCTGGCTGCAAACCACTGACAGATTCAGAGCAATTAATAAAGAGAATTGCATTGACAAGATGAATGAGGGGCTTCTAGAAGGGAGCAGACCAGAGTGTAAAAAGGAACAAACCTTTTCGGTGTCAGTTAGCGAGGACTGATACTTTTTTAAAAGCCATTAATGCCGTCTTTGATTTATGCCGCAGCACAGTAGGAGCATATTTTCATTTTGTGTGAATTCCTGCTGCTGTTGAAACACCTGCAGAGACTTTTCTGTCAACAACTGCATGCGTCGACTATTCTGGTCTGTCCTGTTTAACTGCCGTGCAATTGTTTCTGCAGACCTACAAATAGAACAAAAGTTACTTGTCAAAGAAGTTTTTTTACATGTTGTTTTTAAAGTAGAGCTGCACATGTGTGCAGTTTTGCAGTATTAACAGAATTCTTTAGTTCAAAAAGTAAAACTCGTACATTGCCGTCACAGATATCTGAGTCTGCCACTGAGATTTTATGGTCATTAAAGCAGCTATCGGTACTTTTTAGTGAACAGCTGCCAACTTCTGCTGGAAAATGAAATCAGCATCTCCAGCAGATAACATGACTCAGCAAATCAACGCCGCATTTCTCCTAAAATATTCAGTAAACTTTATATTTAATTTATTAATTATTTAAATTCTTTAGGCTATTTTTTTTTTTTTTTACGGCCAGAACCGTTGAATTCACACGTTTCTGGTACCTCCAGTAAATCTGATGCACAAGCTACATGCCCCCAAAAAACAAAGCTGCTTCTTTTCACCCATTTGAGGTGAATTTCTGCTTCAGAAACGACCTGATTGGATGCCGGAAAAGACTATTGTTGTGCTGAAAGAAGTTATCAGCAAAGCTATTAAAGTCTAAATTAGCATCTGAATGGAAAACTTGTAGCAGCAGCACAGACGCTAACGCTAATGTTAGCATCCACATTTCTTAAGAAGCGCCATGATTGATCAGAAGTTCCTGAAACACTGGAACTTTAGCTGATTTATGTTTATTTACTCAATAATCTATCAACAAAAAATGATTTTTAATTGAAAACGTTGCATGTTTTGTCTATATATATTTTTTGGCTAAATCGACTAATTATATGCAAAGTTTATTGATCTTTAAGAATGTGATCTTCTATTATTGTATGCCTTGAAAATGTCCTCAAAACAACAATATTATCATTTATCGCAATGACTACTGGGACAATTTATCCTCCAGTAACAACTGTTGTTGTTAAAGTCCATTATTGTTATATTTCAAATCATTCCCAGTCGACTGTTTAATGTCAGCATTTGATGTTTCCTCACTTTTATTCTTCACCTGAAGCAAAACCATCTGAAAACTTATTCGTCCTGCAGCTATCTGTCCGTTGGGACAAAACAGTCACAAATTGCAAATCAGTGAGTTTGCAACCAAGTGAATCACATTACGGGACGTTTTGATTGTCGGAATATTTCGTTACTTGGCCACACATTCGTTGTGCACAACCCACGATTGTAATCATGTAATAGACGATTGTAATCAAATGATTGCTCCAGCTAATGAGCCGTGTTCCTACTGGAAATATAATCGGGATCATGTTTGCTAAAAATAGCCGATGCAGACCGCGCCACTAACCGCTTCACCTCTGTGGCTTCTCCTCCGCAGGCTCGATTTTCTCCTGTGGTGTCTGTGTGGAGCGTCCCACACACCCACTCCACAACAACGACGGCTTTTGCTTGCATCTTCCAGTGTTTCTTCTGTCAGCAAGTCCAGCAGAGCTGCAACTCTTCCAGTGCCAGCCCTGACACCAGCGAGGAGCCCTGCCCCACTGACATGGTGAAGATGACCAAGTCGAAGACCTTCCAGGCCTACCTGCCATCCTGCCACCGCACATACAGCTGCATCCACTGCCGAGCGCACCTGGCCAACCACGACGAGCTCATCTCAAAGGTAACCTGCTCCGTTCGTCTTCGTTTAAAGCTCCGCTTCCTTAAACAGGGATTTTGTGTATCCTGAACAGTTACGGGATACACAAAATTTATAATGTTTTTTGCATAAAATCATTCCTACATAGTGCAATCTGCCTATTCTGTCACTTTAAATCCTGCTAAAATGGCTGCAGTCGTACAACCTTCTTATTTCCAGCAGCCATTGCAAGGTCCTGGTTTGTGATGTCGCATTGTGGATGGTTTTTGAAAAACATTAAACTTTTTGCCCAAAACATGATGGGGTGGGTTTTTTTTAAGGGCTTTGGTTATTTTTAGAGGTAAAAAATGTGCAAAAAGGTTAATTTTTCACCCTTTAGGGGGATCTTCACAGTCTGTTCACTGGAGACCAAAGTTGCAACATTTGTTACATTTTCAGCTGATTAAGAAACTGAGTTCAACTTCCTTCATGAAATGTAAACAGAGTGGCTTCAGATTTAGCCTGCCATTAGACTGGTTGTATTTACCCAGAATGCATTGCGCTGTAGTCCGCCTCCTGCTTTTGGAGCGGTCTCTGGTCCGCTTGCCATTCACATATGGATTCAAATCGTACCCGTGTTCACTTCAATCAAGCTGAAACCGACGTTTGTAGGCGGTTGTGAATTCAGTGAATGAACCAAACTTTCTAGCAAACGAACGAAGTGGACCAAACGGAGCTGGTGTGAACGCGCCCTAAAAGAACCTCGCAGGTCTTCCTCCGCTGCTCTGTCAACGTTTACTGACGGAAAATAGCTTGAGGGAATTTGCAGCTGTCTGTCGCGTCTCACCACAGCCGCGTTTGCTGCCTTCGGGTCCAAAAGCGTCTGGAGAACAACAACAATGCATCCATGTGACTCTTCAAATGCTCATCAACTGTTTGCGGTGCCACTTCACTTCGGGCTAAAAATAACAGCAGAAAGTGTGATGCAGCAGATTTGGGAGATGTAGGTCACTGTGACACAACTAAGCTGTTTTTATCTGCGCTAAAATTTAAGACATGTGGTGATGTGAGGACCGATGAATGAATGGAGTCCAGCAGGCCCGTCACAGCGCGTCGGCGTCTTCATACTGAAGCTCTGATTTGATTTATTTTCTGCCTAAATGCAAACCATTTTCCACTTTTTCCTTCTGAGTTTTATCCGCCAAAATAGTCCCAGTTTTAGTCACTTACATATTTGGAACTAATTTGGTTGCGTATCAGATTGTTTTCACAGCGTCTGCTGTCTGAACAGTCATGAGGAATCTGATCCGACTTTTAGTTGGGAGGCAATTCTGCAAAAACACAAACTATCCTAGAACACTTGAAATAAGACAAACTAATTTAGTAAAGCTATACATGCTTGTTTTAAGTCAATAATTTATAGATATTGATTTACAAAAGTACTTATTCTATTGTCAGATTATTTCACGTAAGGGAAAAATGTCTTGTTTTAAGTGAAATCATCTGCCAGTGGAATAAATGGTTTTCTTTTTATCATTATCAAGGAATTATTGACTTAAATCAAGCTCCTGTATCTTGTTGAAAAGTTACTCTAAGTTAGTTTTGTCTTATTTCAAGTGTATTAAGATATTTTCACGAGAAACTAGTTTGCAGTGCAGAAGAATCCAGACTGACGATGTTTCCAAGATTTATTGTCCAAAACTAAAATAACCAAAGTCCATAAATATTTGACACCTCCACTGACCACACACACAACTTCCTGTTCTGCTGTTTAAACATCAAGTTCATAGCTAACATGGTTGTTTGGACAGCAAAAAGTGCTTAACAGAAGGTTTATTTACAGAATTAAACCAGGTGAAGCTAAAACTGCCACTACAGCAGTTTTGGGTCGAATATAATTATTAACATAAGTATCTATTTTTTTATGCTAAGTGAAAAAATATATTTTTGTACAGTTTTGGCTTAATTACTGCTTGTTCTTTCAGTAAGTATCCTATTTGGGAGTCTGTAAATTCCAGTAAACAATTAATTGATCACTAAATTGGTTGATTATTTAAATAATCAATTAATCATTATTAATTGTTATTAATTCAATTAATTGCTATTAATTGAATTAATTGTGAATAATTCAATTAATCGTTTCAGCCCTACCCTAGTTGGACCTGTACAAGTCCTGGATGGAGGTAATTTCAGCCCTGATGCTTCTCTCTGGCTTTAGCGACTGATCAATTGTTAAATTAGTTGTCAATTGCTTCAATTAGTCACAAATTGTTTCAGCCCTAATTGTGACCACTTAAAGGTTTCTGCAGGCTTTTCATGAAATATTACTCCTGTGAAGAAAATAAACCCTCAAATAGCCAATTAATTTCCAATCCCAGTCGTTAATGGCTCCCTCTGTATTGGTGATCAGCTCTGGCTGAGAGGAAAAACAAACCAACAAACTGAACATTCAGGTGACACGGCAGCAGAATGCAGCAGGATGCAGCAGGATGCAGCAGGATTCACAGCGTTCTCCGTCAGGCCCAGTCGTCAATCAGCCTGCGGAGAACCACAAATGTTTCTTTGCTGTGTCCCGGTTTATTAAAGACGTTTGAATTATTGAGTTTCCCATTGGCCAAACAATGATGGCCTCTCACTGACGTTTGGAGCCGCAAACCCAGAAAAGCTGGTCGATGTTGATGGTAGAATCGGCAGCTGGGGAGGGAAAGTGAGTAAAGTTTCTAGGTGATCAGATTAAGGTGGAGCTGCAGCGCTGACCTTTGTGTTATTGTAGGAACCTGACAGCACGCTCGCCCCAGTGCTGCTCTCTCACCACGCTCTAAGCTGATTATTCAAATGACAACGATGATCAATCTGCACGCTCGCTGTGTCTGTGTCAGAATCCATTTCCCTGCTGTAACTTAGAGACATTGTTGGTGCTGGCAGGGAAATGGATCCAAAACCCAACGGCGTCTCTCCTTTCAGCAGGATCAGAGGTCTAATCTCTCTAAGTTTAGAACCCATTGTTGTTTTTTTAGGACAGTTTTACACCTCATGGTCCGGTAGATTCGAAACGGCTCATTTCCAGAAAAATGAACCGTTTTCAGATGCGCAATAAGATACACATCTGTTGGCTTATTCAACCTTGTTTTTTCTAGCAGCCATTGTACAACAGTAAAACCAGCGGACGTGCTGGAGCTCCTTTGGGGTTGCTAGGTAATGGGCGGAACTCTGGCGGGGTTGCTAGGTAACGGGCAGAACTCTGGCGGGGTTGCTAGGTAACGGCGGAACTCTGGCAGGTTGCTAGGTAACGGGCGGAACTCTGGCGGGGTTGCTAGGTAACGGGCAGAACTCTGGCAGGTTGCTAGGTAACGGCGGAACTCTGGCAGGTTGCTAGGTAACGGGCAGAACTCTGGCAGGTTGCTAGGTAACGGGCAGAACTCTGGCAGGTTGCTAGGTAACGGGCAGAACTCTGGCGGGGTTGCTAGGTAACGGGCAGAACTCTGGCAGGTTGCTAGGTAACAGGCGGAACTCTGGCGGGGTTGCTAGGTAACGGGCAGAACTCTGGCCGTTGCTAGGTAACGGCGGAACTCTGGCAGGTTGCTAGGTAACGGGCGGAACTCTGGCGGGGTTGCCTGGTGATTTGTGACGTTACATTCCTGAGCTTTTTGAAGCGGCTCATTTTCTAGACGCCAAAAAAAAACATCTGGGTTTTTTTTAAGCTTTGGGCTGTTTTTAAGAGAACAGGAGACCCAAATGGCAGTAAGAAAAAAAAAATGTTCTCAACATTTCCCCGGTATGGGTGTTTTCACAGCTGATATTCTGGTAGACTCACTAAATAGCTACCGGTATATTTGTTGCATTTTCAACTGGAGCAGTTCACTTTCTTTGCGCTGTGTGTAACGGGCACTTTTGCTGCCATAATTACGCATTCACAAGTTTGTATCTGCGGTAAAACATGGTTACTTCTATAAGGAACGTTTGTTGTCTATAAGATGTTTGGTATGTGATTTATGTAAGTTGAGCTAAAATAAATTGTCTAATGGCAGTAAACCTGAAGCTGTCTGAAACAAGCAGACTGAGCAGCTCAGAGACCCTGTAACATCTGTTACTGCTTTACTTGGCGAACACGATAACGTCTAAGGAACTGTTAAACTTTGAATTTTGGCTATGTTGAAATACTGTGAAAGAAAAACTAACGCAATCTTATGTGGCGTTTGTGGCACTCATGCTTAAAGTTGTGTTTTACTTCAGTTCTCACTGTGGCTGAATGAAGAAACGTGACATCAGCTCGAGGCGTGGATCATTGGAACCAGTGCAGCTGCACTCTGCGTCAAACGATTCAAAAATCTGCTCAGCTCCTCGTCTGTGGGGGCGATGAACCAAGAACCACTGGAAAAAACATGAAAATCTCTGAAGAAGACACTGAATGCAAATGTAGACAAAATAGAGCAGCGTCAGATTTTAGTGTTCGTAGCAGTTCTCTCGTTGGTAAAAAAAAAAAAAACCCACAGAAGCCATTTAGATTTTCACATTTGTTTTGGTTGTATTTACCCAGAATGCCTGTTTCTGGAGCGATCTCCGGTCCAACTGGCGTTGACATATGCATTTAAATGGCACCAGTGTTCATTTCAACCAAACAGTCTGAGATTTTTAGGTGGATCGGAAGCTGAATAATAATTGCACAAATTAGAATAACGAAAATATATTAGCTCAATGGAAACATGGCAATTTTGAAAATAATATGGCATGTTTTGAGCGAGGAAGTGATCAAACAGCTGTATTAAAATGTGATCAACAGACGGATGTTACTACTGGTGGAGAAGACGAAGAAGACAAACAGGAAGTGATTGTAGGATGATGGCGCTGCATGTTTTCTTTTATTGACTTAGCGCATGAACAAACTTATTATCTTGTGACTTTCTTTTTCTTATTTAATGGAAGTACCACAATTGCAAAATTGCGGTGAGGTTTTGAAATTAGCAGAACATCAGCAAAGTTTTGCATACAGTTGTAACAGAAATGCAGCTACTGTTCACTTTTTGCTCTATGTTCGATTGACTTTT